CTGATTTTATACCTCACACAACATTTGGTCTTAGCATTTCTCATTAGTAGATTTTAAAATTTCATATTGTTTATTATTTATATTATCTATCAAAATGAATGTGTCTTTTCCTAAAACCTTAGCAGTTTGATCTCAATTAATACCTAAAGTGAAATGCTAGAAGAAATCATTTTCACCTTTCTGCATAAGGGATTCTCAATATGGTCAACACTCCAAAATAAATACCGTCAGTATTTGATGTTTGACTAACATTTTTGTAGTCAGAGGCCATTTTTGTTTCTTTCCAAGAAGTGAGAAATTATACTTGTTTTGTATTCATGATCAAATATATTCACTGCAGCAATGGCTGAAAAATTTTCTGCAAATAATATATGTACATTTTAATGCAGGTGTTAGTTTGGGAAAAATGTACTAGGAAAACTTCACAGTGATTTTTGGCATATATTTTTCTTAATACAATAAAAGTATTTAAGAGAAATAGTGAGAGTTTTTATTTATTTTTGTGCTGTTTTGTTTGACATCTACTTTCTATCATTTATCTGTTAGAACTAAAACAAACTGGAGACAAGAATGAAATTATGTGTATGAGAACTAATGTATAAACGGCACATGAAGTTTGAATAGCACATTTAAAAGATCATCTTACTTTTAGAAGCTCACATGTAAAATAAATAACCACCAGATGAATAATATGTGTATGAATAGAAGCCAGTAAATTTATAGTAGCGATTGGACTAGCAACTATGTGGGAAATACCAGCTAAATCTCAAGTAGTAGATGACACTAGAAATTCCCCTTTGAGAAAGGTATATAATTAAATCCCCTTATATATGAAAGTAGATAATTAAATGTACACATTTTGAAGTAAGCTGTTATGTTAAGGACATAAGGTAGGATTTTCCCATCTAAATCCAGCCTCTAACTGGGATAATTGTGGGTGTGTATGTGTTTGTGTGTACTTTATTAATGTTTGAGCTTTCTAAAGAAACTATTATTTATTTATGAAAATTAGTAGTGATCACTTAACTTAGATAAGACATTATTATTATTTTCCCAGTTCCTTAAATCTGAATTAAGTCAAAATCCAAAATCTCTTCTGCTTCAGTCATGCAAGCATTTGTAATTTAAAACTGAATCAAATATTTAATATATAGGCCAATTAAAACCTCATAGGGTTTGCTTTATTTTTATTTCTTATTGAGGTAACACTGGTTTCCACCATTGCTTGTGTTTGGGGAATACAGGAGCACCCCCTTCACATGTTGCTGCAACCACACCAAGCCCTCGTGGTCCACACCTTTCTTCTAAGGCTTGTTTTAAAATCAGAAAATACCTTTCATGTGAGAAAAATGGCAATAACATACTGTACATATTCAGATGCTTTTCTTTTGATGAGTAGCACACTGAGAAATTTTCTGGTGATATTAAGTAATCATCTTAAAATTATAGGCGCTATCACTTGGCTCTCTTCACTGGAACTTTACTGGCACATATGGGTTCCTCAGCCAACACAGATTTCAGTTACTCAGGTGTCTCCATAGAACACGGGGCTCCATGGAGAAACTTTTTTTTTTTTAAAGATTTATTTATTTGTGCATACAGAACAGGGGTACAGGTCAGAGGCTCAGGGGCCATGAAAGGCTTTACCAGAGACAGAGTGGGGAGCAGAAAAGGCAGATCGACAAAGTACACTGCTGAGGGGAGCAGCGGGCGGGTCAGGAGAGGTCTGCCACGCCATGTGGTCACCTGCGGGGCAGGCGGGAATCGAACTCATGCTGAAGTGGCTTCAGCTTCTCAGTGCTGTGCTTTAACCCACTGTGCCACCAGGGAGGGCCTCCATGGAGAAACTTTTTTGGGGAAAAAAAAATTCCTCACAAAATAAACACATCTGGCACTACATCAGTTTTTACATTTATGGCTAATTCTACAGTTTTGGCCAAATATTTCAGTAAGTGAAATATTGCTGATAGCTGTAACTTTGTATATTAGTTTGATTATTTTTGTATTTAACATTTTATTGACAAAATGTATTTTCATTATAATTATACTATTATCATTTTAAGTGATGTCTACATTGTGTCAATATTTTATTGCTGTATGTTCAAGAATCTGTGGTAATATTTTTATTATTCTAATTCTGCAATTTTTTTTTTCTTTTACATAAAAAGGCATTTTAAAGTGATGAAAACTTCCAACATTGTTATCATTTAACTCTGGATTTTAAATCTTTAGAGTATTAGGAATTATCTCCCCCTCACTACATACTGTAGAAGAGCACTAAGGATCTTAAGTTAGACTATTTAATACTGCTGTTGATTGAGATAAGATGATAATGGTGTGAGGAGGCAGGAGCAAGAGGAATTTACCATGGTATCTGCGTTGACAGTGATTTTTAACCTTAATTCACTCAATATGTAAGACACTAATACATACTAGATTTTTAATCTTAATTCACTCAATATGTAAGACATTAATTCATACTACCTTAATCTGGTTAAAAACTACAATCATTTAGCCATCAAAGTATCTCTGAGTTTTAAATAACAGCAGGAAGCATGATTTTCATCTCCATATTTCAATAGAGCAGTATTATGCTCGTCTTTTTTTTTTTTTTTCACAAGGGCAATAATATCCCTGAATTGACCATTTTGTAGTAAAAGCACTACTGTCTGGAGACAGCAGTCTAGTTAAATATTTTCTGTAGAATAGACAAACTTTCTTCAGTGCCCAGATGCTTTACTCATCACTCCATCAGTCACTGAACTATTTTTGTCTGCTTCATAGTCATTTTCCCAGAGAGTTATGGAATTAAACTTCCAAAATGCCACAGGTGGGTGTTTGGGGAGAACCTTTGGTAGACCTTTCAGTGGAGAGAAATAAAGCATAATATCTTTTCAGGAAGATATGTTATATTATTTTCCAAATCATCAACAGGTCAAAGGTTGTGCCTGAAAATAAACTCAACCAATTTGCAGTTACTTAAACCTTGGAATGACAACTCAGAATGCTTAGTTCACGATTAGTTGCTACTCTACTGGATTTCTTTATAGAAAAACATAAGCAATAGAGGATAAAAATGAAGAAGGAAAATACCAAGAAGAAGCAGTAAAGGGAAAAAAAATATTAAATGCCAGATGGTAGGATTTCTAGACATTTTGGCAACCTCTTTTTAGGTTTTTGTTCTCTGGGATTCCAGACATAAACTTGGGGATAATTTACTATTTCCATGTTATACTGTTAATGAAAACTTCTCTGTGAATTTTATATCTGAATTAACTTAAGCCTTACTTTACCACCCTAGTAAGAAAAAAGCTTACATTGGCAAAGAGACAGTGTTTTGAGCTGAAAAGCTACCTGTCATTGGAGAAGTAATTTATATAGTCTGTCCCCCAGTTCACTCATTTAACATAAGGAACTTCTAGGGTTACTTCTAATCCTATAGCTTAGGATTCCATGGAAATTCTTAGGGAAAGTGAAAAACATATTTTCTCTTCATAAGGCAGACCTTTATTTATGCATTTTATTATCATAACTGTTAAATGGAATTTGATTTTGTCTTTGATATAAATCTTTGTTCTTGATTACATAAAGCAAATGTTTTGAAAAATAAAATTTTCCATTGATCTTCTTCCTGCATTTTCCCTTCTGCTGTTAGCATTCTTCTCAATAGATGGTGCTCTTTTCTCAGAGACACTATATATCTTTCATTTCTCATCAAAAGACCAGGTAAATTAGTTTTACTCTAACAATCATTAGTTGAAGAAATCAGACATAAAATAGAAAGAATTGATGACAATTTACAGTGACTAGATCATAAAAGCATAATGGGGAAATTGTTGTTAAATGATTAAAGAACTTAATAGAAATTGGAAATATTTGCTGAATAGATGAAGAAAATATTATAACTAAATATGAAAATTTTCATGCTTGGTGAATACTTATAACACAGTAGAAAAAATACCTAAAAATATTAGGAGTTATTTTAAAATATTCATCTATTTAAACACAAGTGAATATGTTATATTCCATACCAACACAGAGGATTTGAATGTGCACATCAACAATAGCAAGATGTACATTAGCCTAAATTAATATTGAAAGCTTTCATATTTGTTGCCAAATAAATTGGGAGCATCTGAGTAAAGAGAGTGAGCCACAGACACTTTTGAAATCATTTCACTAGGAAAGACATTTTTAACCCTCATCCCTGGCACAGCCATTAGAATTTTCTATAGACTAGCTTAAAATACAGAATTCTGCAACTTTTGTTCACTTATTTCCAACTTTAGGGGTCATTTGAAGAGTCTTGACCTGAGTTCTCCTGATCCACCTTATCTCTTCTCCTATTTTAGTAATAGTTGGGGTGACTTCCCTGGCAGAGCCATGGCTATGAAAAGCAAGCTGAGCTTGGCAACACAACTATCATGTTTACTACAAACAAAGCACCACCATTTAATGTGGACAGACATTAGGAAAACTTCCTCATTGTGTGCAGCCTCAGAATGAGAGGAAGAGTGGGGTACAGTCTATCATGACAGGGGAAGTGAGGGTGTGGCTCTGATAAGCCAAGTATGACTAGCAAAGTTGCCAAGATTCATATCTTAAAAAAAACTGAGGAGACTCAAACCCCTTTCAAGACTGAATCCCAAGTTGGGATCAGGGTAAACTATCTAGAATTCCTCTTCCATTATTCACAAAATCTGTCTATTTGGCTCAGTGCAATCAAGCTCAGATTTATAGCATATTGATGACAGAGCTTTTATATCTTTTACCAAAACAACTTCTCTGTTCCTGAAATTTTGGGTTCTTTCTTTTCCAGTGTGTGGGGGCGGGGGAGAGTAAACTTTTGCATTTTAACAGCAATTGCTCTATCCACGCTGCCCCCACAATCCTCTGTTCACCACCTTCATCATATCCTCCCGCCAAAGATGCTGTCTAGTGTCCCCTTATGCCCCTACTAGCCTCAGAACTCTCTGCTCAGAGCCAGGTGACTTACTTACCTGAAAATCACAAACATGACCAGGAAGTTTCCAAAGAGACCCACCACGCAGACGATGGAGTAGAGGGCCATAATGGTGACAGCCGTGATCATGGAAGGACTGCCTGTCGGAGGGCACCGGCTGTCGCTCCCGCCCAGCTCGGTGCTGTTCGGATCGCATGGGTCGGACTGGTTGCCATCTAAGTGGGAGAAGTTGACCCAGGAACCAGGACTAGGTGCTGGGGAGCAACTTGAAGAGTGTTTGAAGGGATCAGTGCAATTGCTGGTGTTCAAAGGACCGAAGCTGCTATCCATGGTGCTGACGGCCGGCTGGGACCACGTCGGGAGCTAACTGCGAGCAAAGGGACTTTTCAGGTTCCACGCTGCCTCAGCCGCTTCTAGCTGCTGCCACAGCTTCAGCTCTTTCTTACAGAAACCAGCCCTAGCGGAGCCAAAGAGAAGCGTTGGGAAAGGGGGAGAGCTGAGCATCTGAAATTATCCTTTGCTTGTAGCCCCCAACCACCTTAGGAGTACAGACGCTACCCAGCTCCACGCCTCAGGGTGGGGGGGGGGGGGAATAGGGAGGGTGTGCTCCAAAGGAGGCTGCAGGGGAGGGAGGAGAGAGAAGGGGTGGATGCGCAAAGCGATCCAATGGAGTGGTCTCCCCAGTCGGCACTCCTCTCTGCAAGGGAGGGGCGGGGCAGGAAAAGGAGTTGGAGAGGTGTGGAGTAAGATGGAGTTAGTTTCTTGCAGCAGTAAAGCATAAGGGAGTTAGCACAATTTTTCTGGTCCCATTTTCTCTGTGTAATGTAACAGGAAAGACTTTGCCCTTATGTAACTCTGACAACTCTGACACATCTGGGGTCAGCTCTTTCACCCCTATCCTGCACAGCAATCTCTTGGGCATGGGACACAGTTATCTTTAGTCTGTCCTGGAAAAAGGAATAAATTTTCGTGAATTTCCAACCCTCCACATGTATCTGAAACGAGAGTGACCTTTCTCTGAAAAAGAAATAGAAAGCAAAGTTTTATGGAGAAGAGACTTTTTCATTCTGTACTTCCTTGATTTCCCCTAGACTAGAGGCTCTATTTGCATATGATTTTTATCCTGCTGGGCTAGAGGCTTAAGAACTGGTTACCTGAATCAGGGGCTAGTGGCATAAAGGAAAAATCAGTGGGAGATAATGTTCTCTACTTAAACCTCATAGATCTCATTGGAATTATTAGTTACCATTTTAACTTCAGACTTTCTTTATGGACATGTACTTCTCAGTAGAATGGTTGTCAAAACCAAAGAACATTTGCATTATGTCAGACTGTTTTTTAGCATAGAAATTCCAGAAGGTTCTATGTAGGCATCCCTAACTGGAGAGGCACAAACAAGACCCTTAAGGAGTATTGATGTATTTTCATTATTTTATCATTCAAAAATTTGATACCCCACTTCAAAGCCCATAAACTTGTAAACTTGGTAAATCAACCAGGGCTAAGGCTTTTCTTGGTAAAGTTAACACTAATTCCAAAGTCTTTCTCATTTCTGTACTTGTGTACATTTGAATGTCCTTATATATTTTTTAAATAAACATTGGTGTCAAATTTTCCTCAATTGTTTGTAGAAAGGGATAGAAATGGGGGAGGAGCTTGGCAGGAACATTTAATCCTAATACTATTTTTAGTCTTTTATCTTGTAAACAGGGAATTCATAGGTCAACTCTATTAATCCAGGTTATTTTATAATGTTCAGTGTATTTTTATTCTTTCACATTAAGGGTATAATTTCAGAATACAGTGTTACAGAGCTATAATAGAGACTAATAGAAATATTGCACCAAATAGTCTCCTGTGAACTAATGTATCATTTCATTCAAATTGACCTGAACCCTCTCTGCCATTTAGTTTCTTGAGGGCTCACAGGATCTATAAGTCTCAGCATCATGGTTGTGAAAGCCAAGTAGAGTGTACATCCTGGTCTTAGAGTCAGGTCATTCTGTGAATCTTAGACTTTTTAGTTGCAATAGCTTGAATATGTTACTTAACCTCACTGGCTGATAGTTTCCCATAAAATAAAAAAGAAAACTAATAAAATCTTTATCTCTGCTAGCAAGATTATAGGATATATGCAATGCTATCGTTGTCCTTTGATAAATAACTCATTAGTATACTTCATATATTTGAAAATAGCTGACAATCTCTTTTATAAATTCAATTTAGCTTCCTCCAGCTTTAGTTTTGAGTCTTTTTAGAAGCTTTATCTCTTTTCTAGTTACATGACAGTTTATCTATCTCTTCTTATGGTACAACTCCAGACAAACACAGAGGCTGGCCTGGTACACACTTAGCAAAATTATCAATTTTCTCTTTCTAATAGCACAGCAATTGGAGGGTCTCACTTGCTTTTTTACTTATAAAGTACTTAGCTCATTTGACTCAACTTAGGTTTAGTGTTGGCAGATTCCTTAAACATGACCGAAGTCAGCTCAGTGCAAGTTCATTAAAGATCTATTTTATACAAGTAATGGAGGTTAAAAGGATAGATACAAATGCTTTTGACCACAGCACCTTGCTTCTTATATCTGATAAATCATGGTTTTCCTATAAGTTTAACTGCTTTAAAAATATATTTTAAAAAATTAAATAATATCTGCTAGATAAACTTTGTGATGCAAATCCAAGAAGACAGTTTGGAAATGATGATTCTGTCATCTTTTGTAAGCCTGCTTCCTGCTTTATATACTTTGTTGTCCTCCTTTATATGCTCTGCAAGATGTTTCTTGATGTCAGGGCCACTCCCTAATACAATAATTAATATGCAGTGGACTCCTTTCTTGCTCTCTTATATGTGAATATATATATGTGTGTAAATTTATATATATATATACATACACACACACACACATATATATATATGTACACACATTATCTAATTTAATTAAACATAGCTTAAGTTTCATAAATGTATCTCTCCCAGATTCATATATATAAATCCTAACCCCCAGTTTATGATATTAGAAGATGAGGTCTTTGGAGTTAGTTATTGCATTTTTAATCTAGAGTTTCTGGATAGCATTGTACTAACATCTGTGTCTAAGTATCTCCCATCCATTCTACATGAAATTTTGGAAATTGTAGGAAAAAATGGAATTTCCCTTTCAAATATCTTAAAATTGGCTTCAGGAACACAGAGAAAACTGATCATAGCAAACAAATTAATACAACAAGTACATAAATTTTAAAAAAGGTCAAGGAGATCAAACTCCAGCTTCTGTATAACTTAGTTACCTGGTGGGAGGTCTTTCCCTTTTCCTCATGTACATTTCCAATCAGGGTGGTCTCAAATCTGAGTTTCTTGCGAAAGAGAATTTAAGCAAATAACTATTTTATTAAACTTAATTATTTTATATAACATGGTTCTAGTCCTTTAACCTTTCATTTCCTTGAGCCATCCCATGTTAACTGTTTAATAGGAATATCTGCCTTGCTGCTATTTCTTGCTTTGCCAAGATTTTTTCATTTTCAATACACTATGTCAGTCAAGATTTAAGTTTGTTACCAAATCTGACATTTTCATAAAAATTCAGTAAAAGATGTGTTTTTAGTCATAGCTGGGAAGGAAGCTAGTCAATGCAAGTCACTCCTGTTACTTGAATTTCAGAATACACTGGCTTTAGTAATTCATATAATTGCCATCATTCAAAATTTATTTTAATAGCTTAGTCCTGATTTTTTTTGAGAGTAGTTCTTAATGGAGTATGTGATTAACAGCTATTAATGAGGAATATAGATCTCAACATTCTGTATAAAGCCATTACTGTGGTTTGAAGTTCAGGACAAAAGGGGACATCCCAGGTTTCATTGGAAGAGCATTTCAGCTATTTGTTTACAGATGTTTTTTGTTATCTAACATCTAAATATGTATAACTAATGAGGATACAATATTATCCATGTTTATTGTATTGTTGAATGTCCAATGAAATGGAACATGTGTTTTTTACTTATATGGTAAAAATAAAACAAAAAGGAAAGAAAAAAACTCACAACTACCTCAACCTGATAAATCTAAGAGGGTGACTTCTGGGACAATGAAGGTGGAATCTGTAGACACTTAATAAAAAAGCAGCCCAACCCCAACCTCTGATCTTCACCTATTGCTCCTTAGGTAAATCGCTCATGCTTCCTGAAATTTTGCTTCCTCTTCTGTAAAATAAAAATATGGAAGTCAACTTCAAAGGTGTTTTACAAGATTTCTTATGTATGAATGACATTATCCTGGGCCTTTTTAAATCTTGTTGTATATGACCTGTAGGTAAGCAGGAAGAAATATTGGGGATAATGTACTATAACACATTTAACACAAAAAGACTAGATTCTTTTATAATCCAGAAACTGGTCTATCCATGGTTCAACTTAACTTGCTTAAATAATTTATCCAAGTAGAGAGTTTTGGTCCAAATATCTTTTTTTTTTTTAAATCTGGAACCTCAATTGTTTGAATTTTGCTCTCCCATTTCAGTTGTAGATGCCACCATTATTCTAGAAATGTCTCTTACCACTTTATATTTAGATGAACAGTCTCCTGACTTTAATGTGTCAAGATTCCTTATACATTGAAAAATTATTGAGGATTCAAAAAACATTTGTTTCTGTATGCTTTCTCCTCACAATAAATCTCATAAGCTATCTTAAAAGAGTACAAGTATTGCTTTCTTTAAAAAGAGAGGTTTCATTTTGAAAGAATTCCCATGAATATGTAGTGACAAAAGCTGTGTTTAAGTTTCGTGTTTTATTTTTAAAATGTTGGTTTAATCCATCTGCAGCAAGTCATTTACAGATTTTTGCCATTTTTGTAAAACTATATTTTTCAAAGCAAGAAAATACAAGAGTAGCATCTATATCACACAAATATTTTTAATGTCTAGTTTAGAAGAAGAGTTGGATTCTCATATCTGTTTCTGTATTAAATCAATTTCAATATGTTCACTTGAAGTATATGAAAAAATATGTCTTTACACAAATACATGGTTGGAAAGGAATACTTCAGTAGCCTTTATAGATAATTGGAAATAATTTCCTTAGTACTTGATTCAAATTTAATTGTGTTAATGTTCTTAATTTTTGGAATGTGGAAAGTAACATTATTATCAGAATATTTTATATTGTTTATTAAATCTATTGGTCTAACTCATTTGTCAATAAATGCATTATCCATGGATGATTTTGTAATGTCATACATTGATCATTTGGAAAAGTATTGGCTTTTTGGAGGTGACCCACATGACACAGCAGATCTCTTCTGGCCCGTCTGCTGCTCCCCTCAGCAGTGTAAAGCTGTCTGTTCTGCTCCCCACTCTGTCTCTGGTGAATCCTCTCACCATCCTTACCCCTTTGGCATGTACCCCAGTTCTGTATGCATAAATAAATAAATCTTTAAAAAAGCAAAAAACAACCCAAATGCTGAAACATTTCATTCTTTCTCTATCTCTAGATATATATAGGGGTTATATATAACACAAATTTTCTTTAAATATTGGGATTCAGTCAATC